TTTAAACCCTTTGAAGATTTTTCTGAACGTGGCTATTGAGAGAAGTTTAGAATAACATTCTTATTCTATATCATCTTAATAGATTTATTTTTCTTATTTCATTTTACTATTGTGAGCACCTAACAATTTAAGAAAGAACTTTCAATAAGCCAATTCTCGGACTTTTCTCTGGATGCAGTAAAACTGAAGCTGATATCAACGCTAATGTGTTATTTTTATGCGCACAAAAAATCGATTTGGTGAGGTTTGCTGGAAGAATTTTTGTAATGGTTTCATTTAAAATGAAACGATTTTCGAATGAGAGGGAGTTAAACTGTTTGACTGTATCTAATGAGAATTAGTCTATCCTTGTTAAATGCTTCATTTTCAAAATCGTTTTCGTTCTTAAGTGTAATCTTCTATTTTTTTCTAAAAAAAAATGCAAAATGATAGAATTGAGATAAAGTAATTAACAAAATTTATTGTCACCTGATGACAAAATCAAGCAGATCGTTCGTGAAGGAGTTATCTAGTCATTAAATCAAGATCCATATTAAGTGGTCGATAGTGATCACTGAAAGCTAGGTTGCTTTAATACCCGTTTCAGGTTAAGAAAAAGTTTCCTGGTTAGATATGCTTGTACAATGTCACGGGCACTCAGAAACAGAAGTTGATATCCATTTTCCCGACACAGAAGCAGAATCTAACGTTAGACGTTAATCTTCCTGGTATACAATTCAATGCAAATTATATCATCAATGCTAGGTGCATATATATGACATTATTAAACATGTTGGCATTCGCATTCAAACATGAGAAGAAGCTTAAATATTGAATAAATATAATAATAGGGTAAATTAGTCTCTCTTCCTCTGAGAAATGACCAAATTGCGTGAGTTTGATTTACAATTGGCTAAAAACACATTTATCAGACTCAAATTTGAACAAAAGTTAAAAGTTAAAACTGGGAGAGTAGTTATTACTGAATATGAAAAATGACATTTAATTTCTTATTTTTTTAATTCAAAAAAAAAAAGAAATTGAGTTTGATAAAACAAAAAACAATGCAACGGGAACAGCATCCAAAAACATGATAGAAGCAACGTAAAGCTAGACAGAGTAGAATTCTTCAAATATTGTGATCACGTGGTCAGGCTCATTTTCCTCTTGGATCTCACTGGGAGCTAAGACCTTCTTATATTGATACATATAATCCCCTCCGATAACTTTATTATTGCCTGCAGTATCTTGAGTTGTCTCTTGAGCTCTCTCATATTCCGATCAGGCCATTGTTGCATGCTTCCAGCCTTTCATTAAAAATCCTAGTTTTTTCCATGCATTCTCCGTAACCCTACGTTAATGCTGGAGTCGAAGCCGCCATGGCTCCTCTCGCCTGTTGCCCAGGAGGACCTATTATGTCATGTCTCCTCTCGCTCAGCACGGTGAAGAACTCTTCCTTCAGCTCTTCATTCCTCCTCGTCTTTCTCGTTACTTCTTCCTTCAACGCTTTCAACTTCATCATCGCAAGAAGAATATTTTAGTTTTTTTTTAAAATTGAAATCATCAATTAAATCTAAAAATATAATATTAATTACATATATGTAAAAACTGATTACTTAATAATTACTTCTAGTATGATGCTTTCAGTCTTAATTTATAACTTATTCTTAAATCAAATAGGAACACGTACGTCTTGCTTGTATTCATCATCGTGTTGTGTCCTTCAGATTTCTGCGAGTCATTGGAATTTTCATCCATCTTCTTATCCTTCAAGCACGCTTGGAAACACTAGAAAACCATAATCTTTTTCTGTTTGTGAAACAATAATGCCACGCTCCTATTTATAGAACCCAATCTTGTAAATTTTTAAGAAAGTTGATTTGATATCTTTAAAATATGAGCCATGATTCCTCCTTCTTTTCAGATTCAAATCTTGGATAATGTTGTCACTCAAAGATAATTAATAACACTTATCCTTTATTCCAAATTATACTCCAATTGAATTCAATACTTTTATTTTGAATTAAAAATTTACCACCACTAAATTTAAATACTAGTTGAGATCAAAGCTTTATTTTGCCTTAAAATCTGGTATACAGTGATGAGTATCAATATGCCTGATATCAATATACCTATTATTTTGCAAAATATAATCATTTTTAAATTATCTCGTAGAATCTAATTAATTTTTTAAATATGACTAGTCATATACTAACGCTATCAAAATACACTGATGTAAATATCCTGCTTTATATGATTATAATCGATTTTAATTTTTTTATCATAAATTTAATTATCTTCATATTTCTACAAGTAAATTTAGTTTATCTGGATTGTAGAGTATAATAATTTTATTATTTATGATGCAAACTTATAATTACATTTTTAATTAGTATTGTTCATTATTTTCGGATCGATCGACTATTCTTTCACCTCTCAGATGTAATCTTAAATTCTGTTTTGGAGCCTTTGTCCACCTTTTCAAGACTGAAGATCTACTTGTTATAATTGTTATTGATTTCTTTAATGTAAAAATTAAATATTAATTTTGATATCTTCTAAACATTTTTAAAATTTAAATTTTGAACATGACCTTGTAGTGAATATTGAATGTAGTCAAAATGATTAAAAAGATGAGGTGGGGTGAGAGGGATTTCAAAAACATGACCCATTGTATTGGATGACATTATTCGTACACAATATTTTGATCTCATGACTCCTACATAATTTCTTATTTCCATTTTAAAATTCTACATGCTAACTACTAGCTAGCTTAATATATTTAGCAAAGGACCCATTTGTTTAACATTAAAAAATAAATAATTTTTAGATAGTTTAAAAATTTTATAAGAAGCGATTTATTTTGTAGAGATTTTAAAAAAATTAGAAAATATTTTGGGCTTCATTTCAATCATAAAAAATTATTTTTTATTTAAAAAATAATTTTTAACTTGTTTGGATAAAACAATATCAAAGTGCTTTTTTTGGTTAAATTACAATAACAGACATGTAAAAGTAATTTTTTTAAAAAACATATTTGGATAAAAAAGTTCTTTGAATTTGTATAAAAAAAGTTTTTTTAGTAAATTTGTAGATATTTCAGTAATATTATTTAAAATAAATCATTCCAAACTTCAATCAATCAAAGTACATGACAGAGTTTTTACGGACATTATAACAAAAAACAAATAAAAAAAATCTAATAATGCATTCGTCTTGGCAACTAATCCCTAATACCATTTCTTATTTATTTTATGTATTTAACATCTGCTTGTGTAGGACCTCACCATTCATCATGGTCAAGTATATTATTATCATCCCCATCATTAAAATGTCATTCTCCATCTTATAACTCATTTAAATTCTCAAAATTTTGAAGAATATTTCAAGTCATTTAAATCCTTCCTTTTGACATAGTTATGGAAAGTAAAGCATACCCATATGATAGAAATTTGAGTAACAAGCTTGAAATTGGTTATATTTTGCAATATTCTATGTCTTGCCTTACAAATACCAAAAATTCTTTCAATAACACCAGTCAAATTAGAATGATAAAAATTGAAATCATGTTTGCTTACCAGAATAAAATAGAATGAAATGTATTAAAAATTAAAATAAAAATAAATTAAATCATCCTTCTCCTCATATTAAACATGATAAAACTCATTAATATATACTAAAAATATAAGAATCATCATACCCTTAAAAAATCATATGAATCATATTAATCCTATAAACTAAATTACACTCTCTCTTTATGAATGTGCTCACATATCACTTTTGATTATTTTATTTTTACTTTTATTTTTTTAATTTATTATATTATATTTTATTTTAGTAAGCAAACATGGCCTAAATGTTTCACCTTTTAACCTGGAGCTAGGAGCCATCCTAAAATGTGCTATTTTGATAACGAGCTTTGTGATATTTTGATCTCATGGCTCTTAAATAATTTCTTATTTCCATTTTAAAATTCTACAAGCTAGCTAAAAAGTAGCTTACTATTTTTTAGCTAAGAGTTCGATCAAGGATATAAGAAGCGTGAAATAGGAAACTTTTTTTTTTTTGGGTAGGAAAATAGGAAACTTATTGAATGAATAAGATATTGAAAAATATAATTCAATACAAAAATATTTTTAACTTTTATTTTACTGCTTCGAGCCCTCGACCATCTCGTATGGCCTCTGGACTATTTTTGTCCGCACAGTTAAGTTTCTATTTCTTCAAGGACACTTCTTGGTTTTTTGGGCTCCTTTACATGCTTTTGTTCTAAATTAATTTTCGGTCCATTTTGGTTGCTTATTCAACTAAATTTTTTGATCCCTTTGTGTGTTTCCTTCGCTGCCTTTTCATTATCTCTTGCTACAATATTGTCTCGGTGTTAAAATGAGAATAATAGTTTTTTGTAAAATGAAAATAATATTTTATTCTCACAAACATTTTATTCACGTGGTTTTTTTAAATTTTATTTTTTATATTACATTTTTAATTTTAATATCTAATGCTCTTCTATTTTTAACGAGTTGGCTTATTGATTTTGTATATCAATAAAATTTGCCATACCTTAAAATTTATCATAAGTTTAATGAATATCATAAACTTTAAACTATTATGTAAATAATATCTTCTACTCAAAACTCCTAAAATGTATAAATTTTTGAGTGTTTGAAACATTGTCATTTAGAGAAAATGATCATTATTTTTAAAGATCAAGGTGAGTGCCATATGCAAACAATCGAACCCCAAAGCCACAAAAATAATGCATATTTTCTCAAATTTAATGGTCAGTTAGACACTCATAATTTAAAAATTAAGAAAATTTTTAATATATTTTAAGAGTTTAAAATTTAAAATATTATTCACGTAATAATTTAAAATTTAAAATATTCATTAAATTCTTATGATATATATAGTTATTATAATACAAAATGGTAACTTTAACGAAGTTTGCCTTTTTAAAGAACAGGGGAAATATTGGATGTTTCATAAATATTAATAATAATAAAAAAATATTAAAAAAAGGGCCATTGGCCCTAAAGAAGATGGGCATGTCCAAAAGCCCACGCCAGCAACAATTGTGCCGTCATACATTTCAACATCACGACGTCGTTTGCTGGCATAAGACGGTCAGATCTCCCAACCATTTCCGAATCTGTGAGCTCAGGTTGGCGCTGATCCCCGATCTCCCTCTTCCCGAATTACCGCTGCCACCACCGGCTCCTGCTTTCTCCTCCGCCGTCAGAATGGCCAAAACACTCTTCTGCGTTCTCATCCTCCTCCTCCTATTCTCCGTTCTCTCCCCATCCTCCGCCGAGATCAAGTCCCTAACCATAAATTCCGACACTCGACCCATGATTCTGTTTGAAAAATTCGGCTTCACCCACAAGGGTCACGTTTCCATCGCCGTCTCCTCCGTCTCCGTCGCTGCCCTCTCTTCCGCATCTCAACCCCAGTCTTCGAACCTCGGCTTCTTCCTCCTCAACGAAGAAAGCCTTGTTCAGGTCCTCATCGAGATCCAACAGAACCCCTCCTTCTGCGTCCTTGATTCGCACTACATATCCCGTCTCTTTACTTTCCGTGACCTTTCTCCCCCTCCTCTTGCATCCTTCAATCGATCTTACCCCGTTACCACACCCAATGAATACAGCCTTTTCTTTGCCAATTGCGCTCCCGAAACCGCCGTCTCCATGGTCGTCCGCACCGAGGTCTATAATCTTGACGCGGATGGTTCTAAGGACTATCTCTCTGCCGGTCAAACTCAGCTCCCCGTCCTCTACTTTCTCTTCTCCCTCGCCTACTTTGCTTTCTTGGGGTTCTGGGTCTACATTTCTTACACAAACAAGCGATCCGTTCATCGCATCCACCTATTGATGGCCGGCCTGCTTCTCGTAAAGGCTTTGAATCTGATTTTCGCCGCCGAGGATAAGCATTATGTCAAGACCACGGGAACACCTCATGGATGGGATGTGTTGTTTTATATATTCCAGTTCATCCGGGTGGTGTTGCTCTTCACGGTTATCATACTGATCGGGACCGGGTGGTCATTTCTCAAACCCTTCTTGCAAGAGAGAGAGAAAAAAGTGTTGATGATTGTGATCCCGCTTCAGGTTTTGGCTAACGTGGCTTCTGTTGTGATCGGTGAGACCGGGCCCTTCATCAAGGATTGGGTTACATGGAATCAAGTCTTCTTACTGGTAGATATTATTTGTTGCTGTGCTATCATTTTCCCCATTGTATGGTCTATAAGATCTCTGCGAGAAACGTCCAAGACCGACGGCAAGGCTGCTAGGAATTTAGCTAAGCTGACACTTTTCAGGCAGTTTTATATTGTTGTCATAGGGTATTTATATTTCACACGGATAGTAGTGTTTGCGCTGAGAACTATTGCTGCATACAAGTACCAGTGGGTTAGTCAAGCTGCCGAGGAGATCGCGAGTCTTGCGTTTTACATGGTGATGTTCTACATGTTTAGACCGGTGGAGAAGAATGAGTACTTCGTCCTTGACGAGGAGGAAGAAGAGGCTGCAGAGATGGCTCTTAAAGATGAAGAATTCGAGCTCTGAGATGGGTGGTGGAGGAGTTCAGCTGGTCCTCCTTGTTGACATGCCTCTAACAAATGCAATTTATCAGGTTGTCCGATGTCATGGATTCACTATCATATTTGTGGTTCAGGTCCGCTGCTAGTGCAATGCTGTTTATCCGGTTTTCCTTTTCTTTTGTTTTCCCTCTATCTCCCTTGACTATGAGAAAAATACTGATACTGGAATACTGCCTATTTGTTTAGCTAATGAAATTTTTTGCCACAATGTATTGTATTCCGCATATGAAACACAACGAACACTCATTTCGAGCTCTGTCATTTGAGAAATGGTTATAAGCTTACTCATGACTGAGCAATACTGCTACTTGTGATAAGGCTGTGGATTTTCCGTACTTGTACTTCCACTCAAGTGTTTCTGGTGCCGTCTGGGCCAACATTCTTTGATTGATTGTGTCATTAGCGCATGCACTGTGCGTTGCTTCCTCGACTTCCTTGCACAATTGAACTGCACAAGGCGCGCATTTCCATATATCATTTATTATTTTCCTTTGCATTCTGTTTAGAGTATGCTTTTACGTTTACATCATGCCTATGTTAACAAAATGTTGTATTGTTTCTTTGTGTATTGGTCTTCTCAGTTTCCCTCATATCTACCCACTACAGATTACATTTCTCTTAATCTGAGCCTCCCTGCCTATTAAGTTTCACATCTTTCATTAACAACATGCCATGCCATCACTGAAGATTTCAACCCTAAAAACCATTTCATTGTATTCCTGTTTTTATTTATTTCAAGTGGTGGCTCCCAGCAATTAAGCGCAGTGGAGGTTGAGTTTATTGAGGGATGGCCTAGATGGAAAGTCGAGATTCACCTCTTCATGCTTTGTTCCTGACATTTAACGGGACAGAGTTTCGCTGTAACCTTACTGGTCAATCAACTGTACTTCCAAGATACAAACCTTTTTGGTCTATCAACAGAATTGTGGCTGCTGCTGCTGTTGATATCTCATTATGAAATCTGTTTATCTCCTCGTGCCTTTAGAGTTTCTAGAACTAGTTGGGACGGAAGGTAAAACCTAATATCTGATAAAAGTATTGTATTCTATTGAAAAGTTGACGACAGAGGTGACCGGATCCAATGCCAAAGAAGTAAGAATTCTGCTGCCAACTAGCAGAGTTAGCTCAGCCAGCCTGTATTCTGATCTTTTGATGAACTCTCTGGGATTGAAATTCTAAATGCACCAAGCCGATAAAATATAAGGGTGTCAAACGTAGGCTGTATTCTGGATTTTATGAGAGGCCGAAATGGAACGGCAAAGAAGGGAGCGGAATATATTGGCCAGGAGTGGATTGGCAGGTCGTGTATCTTTTCTTATTTAGGCGATGAATCTCAGAGTAGAATTAGACTGAATCTTCCATATTTCTAGTCAAAGGATATAGTTGTACCTGTACCACCTTGCCATTCTATTCCCTTCTAAAACCCCAATTTCAGGAGTTAAAAAATGGATTTTGGATATGGATGACATGGCAAGAAAGGGCTTGGAGTCGCTTGTTTTCCATTGAATCACGCATTTGTAGTTGGAATCTCAGTTCAAAATGTGGGATTCAAAGTTCTTAATTTGCTGTCAAATAAGAAAGATTAGAAATTCATTCTCCTGTGAGTTTCCTCCCCTATTTCAAGGCCTACTACCACGCTTGAAGCCTAGGAGGTCAATCTCCATCTTCCATCTCTGTTAGGGCTTGTTTGGTATGTAATATTAGAAGGTAGAGACTTGAGTTGATTAGAATAATTTCATTTTTTACATGTTTGATATTAGTGATTCACAATATTTGGGATTGCTTAGTCCCACTTAAATGCGAATAATGAAACCCACCACTTTTTTAGTATTGTTTAGTCTAACCAAAATTAATCCTAGGATTAAAACTGTCATGACTAAAATACCCTCTTCAAGAGTGCCTAGATCCAACACGTCATCTTCTCCTTCACCTCGTTTGCTCAAACTTAGGTGACAACTTCATCTCTTGCCAACGATGACTTGTCCCCTTGCTAACAAACAAGTAACAAGCAACTAGGCATGTTGAAATGCTATGGAGAATTCATGCAAACAAGAACCCGAAGTGGAAGGCTCAAAATAAAATGAGATACTAAAGCCAGAGCAAAAGCCATAGCCCTCACCAACAAAGCAGAACCCCACCGTGTGAAACCTAACAAAGATCGTCATTATCTTGCTCCTTCAAGCTCACTTGCTCTCATGGTATGGAAACCTAGACTGGACCGACAGGGTTAACCCGTAAACAGGCGACCCGATCTCTTTATTGGTCTGGGTTTCCATATACCCAGTCAATGGTTGACTCGATGTGATCCGGTCAACTCGAGGTTAACCCGGTATAACCCAGCTAACCCGATGGGTTGACTGGGTTAGCCGGGTTATTTTTTTTTACAAAACCCCCCACTTTTTTTGAAGTTTCCAAATTTTGAAATTGAATGAAGAAATGAAAAATGAAATAAGAGGTAGAACATAGTGCATCAATGCAAACATTTATCTCTCATCTTAACCTAATTGGCCAATCACTCTCATCTCTGTCTCTTCTCATTTGCTCACTTAAACCTTTGCTTGCCATAAACCTAATCAAATGCTATAATTCTTCTTGCCGTTGACAATGTACAGCCCAGCTTAACAGCTTAGCACGATGTTCTTTGTCTTCTCACCTTCGCTACTGAAGTCTTCTACATCCTAGCTCATGCTCACATTCCCTTTGCATTCAGTTAGTCTCTGTAGCTCGTGTCTCGTCTTCTCTTCCCTCTCCCCTTTGCATTTTTTATTTTACTTTGGCTGATTATTACTTTAAGCTTAGAGATTTGAACGAAGTTAATGATGACTTTAGTGTTAATGAATATTAATTTTAGACTTTTTAATGATTGAAAGGTTGTAATTGTAATAATAGATATTTAAAATATTGTATTTTATTATTATTAGACTTTTTAGTGGTTGGATTTGATTAAATGTTTTTATAATCAATGTCTTTTTATTTAAATTGTATTATTTTTAATCACGACCAATTTAAAGGTTGAATCACTAACTCGTGATCCAGTATCATGATTGATTCAATGACCAATCCGATTTTACATACCTTGCTTGCTCCTATAGAAATGAAAAGCTTGCTTGTTCTTTTACTAGATACTAAGAGAGACAGAGGAAAGATTGAAATTGTAGTGCAAAAAATGATATCATATCCATTTTTTACCAAGAAACAACTTGAATAATGTGAACAACATTGTGACTGGTGGTGATGGTGGCGATAAGAAGGGAAGGAAGAAGAATGAGGAGATGAGGGCTGGAGTAACATTTTTTTTTAGTACTTTGAAGGGAGTACTATGGTCTTTTCATAATTTATGGTTAATTATAAAATAAAATGAAGATAAATATTCCCTGCAATTATTATTTCAAACCAAACATGATTTTAAAATATCTTTCTAACTTCTAAATCCCGATCTAAGTCTCTTCAAATTGAGGCTTGCATGCCAAATAGGGTCTTAGTTCACTCAACCTCTTATACTTGTTTTATTTTTAGCAGCCATTGCCAAGAAATAAAAGAGAGGATATAATGGAACAATCTTTTTGGTTGAAATCTAAAACGACTATCTTGGAAAATGCTAAGTGTAAATATGAAATTTACTTGCCTTTACTGTTCAAATTAACAAAAGCTTGCTCAGTAAGTTTACGAGGGAAATTGGTAAGATTCTAGTTCCTTCTTTTCATGTAGTTAAAATATCTAACAAATTATATATAGCGCATATTAATTATGTTGTTCTATTTGCTAGCTCCATGCTTTGTCATTGTTCTAAAAGATATGCCGGTAATACTGATTATTTTGGAACCCAATATATAATTGTTGCATGCTTGAGGACATGTGATCTTAGTCAGAGGGATGGTTTCTGAATTATTCCTTGTTGAAACCTCAATTTGAAACGAGCCGATTGTTGTTCATGAGTGCGGATTGTTCCCAAAACTACGTTGAGCAAGCCTATATTCAACGTTTTAACTGACCTCGTGAAGTATCACCCTGATGGAGATGAAAATGTAATTGAGGGGAATTAACAGCTGTAATAGGGAATGTTTCAAATCTCCAAAATTGAGCCGTCCATTGAAATTTTTCTTTGTCTAGAGTTGAGTCAGTTTGTCTGATAAATGGTTAGTTTGAGCTGAGATTCTTTTGCTTGGTAATCTGTTCTGTGTTTATTAGTGCCTCTGCACGTAGTAGTGTCTCTTCCCAAGTCAACATTGCTTCTTACAGCATATTTAGACGGATCATAGTGTAATTTGGGTATGAGTAAAAATCGAATCCTAAATCATTACGAGTGTTAGATTGTTGGAAACTTTTTTTCCATGAAAAGGAAAGCATCAAAAGCTAGAACAAAAATTAAACAACATTTGGAGTCTCCGATGCTTATAACATTACCTGAGAATAGCTTAATTAATTCTTGCAAGACAGGTGGATAAGTTGCGTAAAATGTAAATTTATTTTGAGGTTTGTTACCTGTAATTTGTATGCATTCATATAATTGTTTCAATGCCGACTCCGTTGGTGTAAGATATCCAACATCATCGACTCGTGATGAATGGGAAAAGATATCAGTCTTGAAACGGACGTCGTATGGAGTGGATTTAGAACAAACTTGAAGATAGCCAACGGTATAAATCAAGTTTGAACTGTCAACTGTTTTAAATTTTAATACAAAGGAAATCATCCTTATTCTCCCTTTCAAAACAAGCAAGCGTTATAAAATAAATATGGGAGCTATGATAGGCACTTCAAAAAACAACAGTTAAGTGTCAAAAGATCAACATTGGTATATTAAACCAATATGTAAACTAGAGAACACATTGCAAACCAAGCTCAAACCAATGTGATTCCTTCTTTCTTTCCCTTTTTTTTTTTTTTTAAATCAATGAAACTTGCCATTCATTTCTGTGACAGTGTCTGTGTGCATTTGGAACCATCTATCTAGTTAACATAAAATTTCAACATTCTAATGTTCCAGCAGTGAAATTTTACGACTTTGATATACGCGCGCGCGCTCAAAAATCCATTCCTACACGCAAATCACATTAAAAAAGATTTCAAGATATGTGTTGTAATGAGGATGATTTTGAAAAGTTATGATAATTTTTGAAAAATTCAAAAAATCCAACTAATTTTAACAAACTCTCCTGGCCTATATAGAGTGAAAGATATGCTATTACCAAACCGATGTCATGAAGCTGCGATACGTGCCACGCAGTGCCTGTAATCTTCAAAGTAGATGCAACCAAGACTAATATTCTGTAAACTCTTTCTTTCTTAAAAAAAAAAAAAAAAAAACCGGATTACTTAGCACTCAAGTGTTGGATGACATGGAAAACCACGACGACATTTGCGGGTTTTAACAAGAAACATGTCAAAGGGTTAAAAATGTGATTGCCATTATGCAGTACTACTGGTTATGAAAATGATGACAAAAGGGTTAAAAAGTGAAGAATGTGCTGAGGTGTCCTTTGAGGAGAGTGATTAAGGAATGCGACCCAAGTGGCAAAAATATTGAAGGGTGTGAATGTGTAGAGTCAAGTGTGAAATGTGAGTTGGTGGAAAGGCAATCTTGATGAGTGGTCATTATGCTGATGCTTCTTCTTCTTGGAATATCAACATCATATATAGACACACACATACGCACTTCTTCCAATTCTAATTATAAGACATTATATTAATTATTTTTTACAATTTTTTTCCTTTCACCTTTATTTAATGTTGATGTAAAGAGGCAATAAACTTTTTAAGAATGTATTTTAATATAGATAAAGCAGGAAATTCCAAATTTCTTTATGAAGTGTTTGTGGATTGATAGGAATTTGGATTTGTACCAACTACCTCATTTGAATATATAAAAATTTATAAATTTAAATTTGATTTTATTTTAAATTATAATTCCTTTATAATTTCAAATTCATTCTATACCATAGCCATTTGAAATTCTAATCATTTCTAACATTTTATTCTGTTTGCATTTTTACTATTAATATTTTAATAATTTTTATATCTTTTCTCATCTTTTATCAATTAAAAAATAAAAATAAATTTATTATTTCATTTTGAATTTTAATTCTTTTCCTTTCTTCATTTAAAATTTTTTAGGCTGACAAAATAAAATATGTTAAGCACACAAATTTTTAACGTGAGATTTGAAATATAAGATTTTAAATTTTAAATTTAAATATAAATTTATCAATCCAAATGTTATTTTAATTTGTAGATATAACTAATAAATTTTAAGGTTTTTTTAATTTCAATAAAAAATATTAAAAATAATTGATAAATAAGATTAAAAAGAATAAACATGGATATACACACAGGGGGGGAGGTTGATTGCAGGGAAGCTTAAGTAACAAGGGTTGATTAAAGTAGAATGCAAGTTTCAGGAAAAGCCGAATAATGGGTTTTGGTGGATGTTATCATTCTCATCCTTTCTTTGTTCATTCATTCATTCATACCCTTTTTCCATATTCTATTCATGTACGAAAAATAATTAAATTACATGAATTTTTATTTAATTTTGTTGCATGATGATGCGTATGTATCAGTGGCAACTCGTAAAAATACTAGTAGAGCCAGTCCCTCGCATCTTTATCCACAGTATATCATGATTTTACTTACCTCTCTCTTTAAATTTTGGCATGAAGACTAAAAAGTCCCACCATCATCCCTAACTGCCAACATTTTTTAACAACCTCGTAGAATATTATTTCATTTCCTTAACCAAATGGTTTTTCAGTTTTTATTTATTGTTTAGCGTCAAGTTAGTGGTCAGCATAAGATAAATTATCACAGCATACGATTGTCCGGACTCCAGATATCCTCACAAGCAATCAACTGACAAATGCTAAGATAAATTGGGATACGTAAATTTTATCTTAAAAAAAATAAAAAAAGGATGTGTGCGAGGGGAAAAGTGTCCCTTGCATGTATTTAGGATTTAAAAATTGCTTCAGGGGCCATTACACTTTTGAGTATTGATTACGTATGAATAGTGTACTGTATTATAACTTTATGTTTTTTTTTTCCTGTTGTGATAGAGTATTATAACTTATATTGATATCGATTATGGTCCTCTTATACTTAATAATGCAATATGTGTGTGCATTAATACAAATCTTTCTCCCTCCCACTCACACATGTATATATTAATCTGTGATTTATAGTTACCATATTTATTGTTTTTCATTCCAATTTCCAAATATTAAAAACTTGACCACAATATCAAAGGAAGCAGTGGGGAAATCTTACCTGAATGTCATGATGCTATGCATTTATTAATAATTTTTTATGATATTCCATCAGTTTCTAAATATGAGAGAAATTATCAGACAATATTTGTTTTATAAGCAATATTACACATTTCAATAAGTATTTATCAAAATTTTTTAAAATCACCCTCATAAAATCATTAATTTTTATTCACCAGACAAAATATTAATGTAAACTAATTTGATTTAGTATAAGAGTATTTTAGTTAAGATTTTTTTATTTTCGAACATAATTGTTACATTTAAGTAACTTATCCCTTCCCATCTGCAGTCAATCTACCCTTCCAATTTACAGTCCATTAATCTCCATAGCAAAACTAAAATCCCAGGCCAGTTTTGGCCATCCATCCCCAATAGAAGGAACCACCCCCACCACTTGACACTCTTTCAAAACCATATATTACCTTTGAAAATTAACCCAGTAGAGGTACGCAAATGTCCAAATCAATTAATTTCATTCTCTAAAGCATTTTACATTTCACTGTCCAAAACCAAACGGCTCAGACTTTTTAAGTGGCCATACAATTCGTCTATCTCGTACCTGCTTTTCTCCTAATATTAACTAACTCTTCGCAGAAAGAACACATTTCTTGTGTTAAAGCCACTTGGCTATTGGATGAATCCACAGGCTCCGGTGACTGTTCATTAATTTATTCGCTTCACTTTAATCTTATACTATGTAGTAACCCTTCAACAAAGGTTGGCGTGCGTAAAAAGACCTTATTAGCTTAATTACTATACCAAGTTTCTTTCAGCCCTGGGAAAAGCCGAACCTAAGAGAGGGGACTCTGTTCAAGACGATCGACGACAAATTTTCTGGTGCTCGCCTTCCATGCCCGACACGCCATGCCTTGAAAACTGGAATCCCACAGAGAGTTTAAATTATAGTATGCAACGTTCAGAAATCAGAATGATTCTTAATTGTAGTGAAATTAATATGAGAAGAAGACTGGCCAGAGTTTCTTGAGGCAAACGTCAAAATTCATAAATATACATTGGGGAAGGAAGAGGCTCGTGCTTGTCTTCATATTCCTACTGTGCATTTCTTACACCCACGCATTCTTAACAAATATATATATATATATATATAATTACTCTCCCGATCGATCATAAATAGAAGAAACAAAGAAAGCAAACAAGCAAAATACGATTCGCAACCTCAAATTAAAACGTCAATCCTTTTCATCGACGACATCTACGCTAGCAGCACAAGACAAGAAATTGTGGAAAATCCTACAGAGTGCAGAGCACGAGATTTCCTTCACTTTCCTCCAAACCAAACACTTCCTTTTCCTCGCCGAAGCAGGCCTGTTCTTCTTCCCCTGACCCACTTTCTCCTTCACCCTCCCGAAGCACTTCTGGGTTTTCTCGGGCACGCTCTCTTTCCTGGAAAATTTGTAGCTTCTCAGATACATCTGCCTGCAGGAGATACTGTCGACCACCCTGGGGTGTCCGTACACCTGCGATCCTTTTCGGCGGTTATGGCTCACCGACCTCACGAACTCGGCGTCCGATTCCGGCCACTTGTAGAGGTTAACGTACGTGGCTCTGACGGGAACACGGGGGTCTCGAGCGTCGCTGACGCAGTTGGAGATGCAGACGGAGGTCATGGTCTCTGTTTCGGCGCTGATGCTTCCTGTGGAAGAGGGAGGGATGGAGGGGTATAAATTGGGGAAGAGAGAAAAAAAGCCGAAAGGCTTAGATTGGAAGAAAAGTGAATCCCATAGGGTTGTAGTGTAGTGAATAATTTTAATGGCGTTATAATGCGTGATGATTAGCAATGACTGTGTTTTTAGCTTTGCCAGGGCGGGTGTGAGAGTCTGTGCTGAGACGAAAGTGATACAGACGAAAAACGCCACACTTATCTGTAGACACAATTAAAAATGTGGTTTTTGATTAATGTTTTGCTGATATTATTATTATTATTGTTATTGTTATTTGGCTTTTGTCAGCTGATATTATGATTTATTAATTAACCGGTTACTGTTTTAAAAGAAAAAATGGGATTTTGCTGTAACAGAGGATAACTGAGTGGAATCATGTTTCTCCTGTTTTTAAGTTGTGATGTGTTGATGTGACTACTTGTTTTTTCGCAATCAATTTTTTTTTTTTTAAGACAACCTTTTCTGTACGCATGGATGTTGATTTTGGAAGGAGTTCACTCGGTGGGCCTTGAATGCACAAGCCCTGCCCTGAGCAGAAAATGATACTGTAAAATAAACAATTTCTTTCCTCTCAACATGGCATGAGATATAAGGATGCTCGTTATTTAACTAAATAGTTATAGCTTGAATCATAATTCTTATATATATATATATATATATAATAATTTAATTAAAAAATTATTTTCTATTTTTAATATTTTAAAAAAGATCATCTTTATTGTTGGCAAATCCTACTCCTTATATTAAAAAAAAAATCTTCATATAGGATAAAATAATATAATTATTGTTTGCACTCAAATTATGAATTTAGAGGCTCAAACTCAATTTAATTTAATTAATATTAAAATAATTAAAGAAAATTTTTATAAAGCCTTATCCACTAAGTCAAGACCATCATATTCCACCCATGATGAGTGGCCATGATAGAAGAAATGCTTTCTAAATTCAAGAAAACTGATGATTATGGGGCTCGGGTATCACGTTAGGATCATCTCTATAAATAGAGGAGCTCTCTCTCAAGATCGGCATCACCAGCATCAACAAACTATCAGTCTCAAACTTCGCGTCTACTGCTTATTTTATTTTATATTTTATAATATAGTTTTAGTCTTTATTTTTCTATTATACAACTAACATAGCCCGTCACCTCACCTCTTTCTTTACTTAATGTATCTCTGCTTTTCTCCATCTCTATTAGTGTTCTTCATTTCATATTCTTATATTCAGGTGAACTGTGGTAAGAGAGCTCAAGTTTTACATGTTTGATTAGAAGTTAGGTTCTTCCATTCTCTTGAGACCCCACATCTCTGGCACACCTCGCGACATCACACCTCGTTGATTATTTTTTACAAACAATTAATAATTAAACCAATTTAACTAATTCAAGTTTTAAATCTCTTTTAACCTTTTTCTGCTGATCTTTAATGGAAAAGGCATCATTTATAATACCAAGTTGTTTCATACGGAACAAGGGTATCTTGTGGGGAAAAAAATATTAAATGCCTCTCAAATTTTATAATTTATTTTATAAATAAAAACGAAGTACCTTTCAAAAATTTATCTATAAATAGAAACCAGAGGAAGCATAAGATAGGATTAAATTATTTACTTAAAATTGTTTCTACTTGGACGATAGCATGTAATTTAAGGGAGATACAAAACGACCAAGAACTGGGTATAAAATATAAAAGAAATTCATTTCTTACAAGCGAAGACATTAAAAATTAAAATCTTCTTCCATGTGTGAAGGAATTCATGAGGACAGAGCGTGGTTAAGATTAACAGATTCACTTGAGTAAAGATCCGGAAACGATATCATATGGTAAATGATCACACGTACTGTGATTTAATCTCATAACACTTCTTCATTCGAATAAAATAAACAAATGAAATAAAAAATATCATTATTGTCACTTGGCCCTTGCCAAACCGGACATTAAGAAAAATATTGATCTGATCATTAACATCACTAGACTTATTACGTTTTGGCATTTTAAATAATAAATACTTCGATAACAATTGCAGGGGATCAAATTGTTTAAAATAAATATTTTAGTTCATGGCCTCCCGCCCTCGATGACGTGTTCAATCAAGTTTCGTCATGTCAACCAATAGTAGATGTCGTTATGACATGATAAAAATAAAAAATATAAAAAATACAATACAACAAATCTAAATATTGAGTATAAAATTATATAACCTTTTTTTGTTATAAACTGCATCTTAAGATAGTTCAATAAAAGCATGTATTCAGACGATTGCACATGTTCTGGTAAAAAAAAAAATAATAATTATAAGGAGATCAAACCACAACATAATTTTTTATTCCAATAACATGTGTGTACTTGAAACACAATTTCGACAGAATTACCGTGCCACTGCAGTTGAAATGAATTTGGAATTACAATATGGCATGTTCGGGTCAGGGTAAGAAATTCTTTAAAGGATCCGCAGCACATTTTTTTATATCAAGTGTAAATATGCATTACGTTAAAGAATTAATGAACTCCCTCTAGTTTTAAATACAAGCAAAAAATTATACATGATTTCTTTTAAAAAATAACAATAATTTTTAAGAAGCATTCATAACATATTTTCTCAATTGCCCTTCATTAAATGATAATATCATTAAATTAGAAAAAAATGAAGGATTAACTATAAGGATTTTTCAGTTCGGGCATTTTATTTTTAGATATAATTATTGGATTTAACTATTAACTAATTTTTTAAACTGTGTGAGTTAATTAAAATTTACTTATATTTGCAAATTTTAGAACAAAGGTGTTGTATATACGTTTAAGCTGCATTTTTATATTAATAATTAATTATAAGAAATTATTGTCTAACAATTTGAACAATAATAAATAGACAAAAGATAGAATTAAAAAATATTAATTAATTTAAGTTTATCTGTTATTGAAGATAAAAAACTTTCAGTGTGTCTTGTATCAAGGATAAGAGAAAATAATTTAATTAAAATAATCTCCTCTTAAATTTTCAATACAAAATTGTTTTTACTCCTGAATTTTGATGAACACGACATAATCATAAAGAGATGGGCATATTATGAACGTAGAAGTGAGTGAAACAAACCAAATGACCCTGCCAATATATATATAGATATATATATTTTTACCAACAATGTCCCTGCCAATATAAAATTATGACAAGTACATGGATTTGCATCGTTTTTACTCTTCGATGCGTGGGGAACCCATCCCAGTGAAATTCACACTAAGGGTCGCGATTAATAATGACAACTAAATTCTGCCTGCTTAAGAGAAATTACCACTTACTATTTTGCTTTTTTTATAAGCAAAACTACAGAGCTCAATAAGTATCTATTATAATTTTTAAAAATTATTTATTATAAACTCATAGTTTTTATTCACAAAAAATAATTAGTGTGGCATTATTTTGAATAAATATATAGATATTTCAGTGTAATTTTTTTATTTTCATATATAATTATTGTAATTAATTGATTTTCTTAAATTGTGTGGTGCAATTATTTTATATATATATATATATATATAGAAATGGAAGGAGTACTATGACAATGAAATATCACATTACTAGCAAGAGCTAATTCCATAATCTTATGGGTTACTAAATATAGAAAAAATCGCATCCAACTCCCTTCTAAGAGAATTAATCACAGATAAAGATCAATATAAAATAAATTATTATTAAAATAAAAATATAACTTGTTTTTTTAAATGAAAATTGTTAATGACCTTTATCTGTAATAAATATTTTTAGGAGGGAGTTGCATGTGACTCTCCCTGAATTATACTTTTATTAACTGGACAGACGTTTTTTGTTGATAAGAGTTGCAAAGGAAATGAAATACGAATGGCAATATGGCATGTTCGGGTCAGGGTAAGATCCACTGTGTATCTTTCACCACATCCACAATGTCTTTTGGGCCCTTCTTGGGCTTACATATTGGATAGCCGTTTTCCACATAGCCAACGTTCAAATATACATTAAGTTAATATGAAAGCCCAACCCATCAGAACCTGTGGCCAATATTTATATTAAGTGCAAATATACATTACGTTGAAAAAATCAATGGAAGCCCAACCCCTGCCCGGTGTGCAAAATGTAAGTACTAAGTACTCCCTTGCTTTTTAATACAAGCAAAATTTTTATATGGTTTATCTTTGTTGTAAACAAAATAATTTTCAAGAAACATTGACATATTTTTTAATTTCCTTTCATCATTTCATCATTACATTTTTTAAAAAAAATGAAGGATTGACCACAAGAATATTTCAGTCCAGATTTTTAATTTCAGATATCACTACAAGGATTAACTGGCTTTTTTTTTAAATCACGTGAGTTTATTAAATTTTTCTTATATTTAAAAAGAGAATAATATATTAGAATTTGGGTGTTGTGTACACGTCTAAGCCACTTTTTAAATTAATAATTAATAATTATAATTAATTATTAATAAATTATTGTCCTGTAATTCAAATAATAATAAATAAAAATAAAATTTAAAATTTTAATTTATTAAAAATTTTTTTATATGAAGAATAAAAAACTTTCAAAATACTAGTGCCTTGTAACTAAAGATGATAGAAAATAATTCCTTCACACCAAAAAATAGGACATTTGTAACTAATTTACAATTCTAAAAAAATGTTAGTTTAAACCTTGATTTTTAAAAAAATTATATCTTTTTAATTTTATCCTCATTAAATACTTTGTATAGATATTTTGATAATTATAATTAAAATTCAATGCATCGTATAATAAATAAAATAGAGATATAATTAAAAAAATAATTATAAAAATTATTAAATGTTTTATATTTTAAATTAGGCAAAGCTTTTTAAAGATATGTTCCATGATACTATGGGAGCAATTTCAATGAATTTTCATAACAACATTGTTTATTCTCCTAGATGTTGATGAGCCGGACGTAAGCAGAAAGAGATGGGCATATTGTCAACGTTGAAGTAAGTTAAATAAACCAAATGTCCGTATAGAATAAGAATTGCGCCATTTTTTTTCTTTTCGACGTGCGTGAAGCCAATAGCCCGTCTCGATGAAATTCACACGAAGTGTCGTGATTGAAAATTGATAACTAGATGTGAAAATGAGATATCAAAAAAATATTGAAATGATATTCGTGGCGTGGCGTTAGCGGCCTGGGCGGGGCTGCTTGTCTGTTGTTATTTATTTATTTATTTGTCTGGTGAAGTCTTTGCTGTTGCTTTGTTCTATGTATAAATGGTCGCCCATGTTCCCCAGAGCCGCCGGC